CCCTACAACACTTTGGAATCTCCGATTCAGTTCTGGCCTTCCGTACTTTCCCGATTCCTATCGCTCCAGCGTTAGTGACTGTGCCTTCAGCTGCCCAGGGCCCAGGCTCCGGAATTCTCCATCTGCCTCACGGCCTCACCTTCCTCCTTCAACTGACCATCACTCGCCAAACCTTTGGTCTCCATTCCAGTAACTCCAGCTATCGGCCGGTATTGCACCTTGTTCACTATCTGTGCTTGTGAAGGTGCCAGGGAATGTTTTACTTTATAAGTGCTATTTGCTGAATTAACTTGTTGGGGTTTCCCTCCCACAGGTGAAGGGGTTTTGCATGAAACGAATAAAGAGCAGCTTTCCAAGACCGAGCTGTCCCTGACCCTCACCAACAAATTTGATGTGTCTGGGAGTGAGAACGAGGAGATGAACGCACGCACTCTGTTGCTGAAGTAAGTAAGCTGTTTGTCTAGGAGGGCTACAGCTTCTTGCCATCAAAACAAATTTAATTTCTGTACCACCCTTCACAACCTCCCAATTTACAGCCAATGAGATGCTTTCAAAGTGATGACCTGTTAATGTCAGTGACCCTAACGGCCCAAAACGTTGCCTTTCCTGCTCCTCGGATGCTCTCTGACCTGCTGTGCTTTTCCAGCCTCTCACCTATAGACTCTTGTCAGTCAGTAATGTTGGGGATAGGAATTGGCCAAGACACTGAGGAGAATACTGCTTCCCTTCGAAACAGTAGCCGTGGGACTGAGACAGCAGGTGAATAATATTTCACCTGAAGGATAGTGTGCTTCTGAGAGTGTAGCACTCCTTCAGTACTGCACCTCCAGCAGGTCCATATTCCTCCAATTCCGGCTCTTGCATATCCCCAATTTCAACCACTTCACTGTCAGTGGCCACGCATTCTGCTGCCTGCATCCCAAGCTCTGGAATTCCCTCCCTAAACCTCCTAGCCTGTGTCCCGCTCTCTCTCTCTCTTTCTTTCCCACCTCCCTCCATTCCCTTCCCCTTCTCTGTCTCGCGCTTTTTCTCTCTCTCTCTCTCTCTCTTTCTCTCCGTTTCCCTTCAGGAATATTGAGCTGCTCTGAAATATGACCCCAACCTCTGTTTTGATGCATTCCAGCACCAAGCGTTTGATTGTCGATGTGATTCGTTTCCAACCCGGTGAAACTCTGACCGAGATCTTGGAGACTCCAGCCTCTGCGGAGCAAGTGAGTATTGAATCTTCCTGAACATTCAGAGGCTGCATCCATTTGCTGGTGGTTGATCACTGACCCACGGGGCTCCTGTTCCTACCAGGGCTTAACAAGCTGAATGGCCTCCTGTCCAATGCTATCTGTTCAAGGGGCTGAAGTTCTCCTGTTCCTGTGCAACAGGCATAAGGGACTGAATGGCCTCCTGTTTCTATGCCACTGATTGGTCTGGCTGAGTGCATTCTCCTGTTCCTATGCAATCAGTTCAAGAGGCTGAATGGCCTCCTCCTGTAAGAATTATAGAATCCCTACAGTGTGGAAGCAGGCCATTCAGTCCATGCGACCACACCAACCTTCCAACGAGCATCCGAACTGGACCCACACACCTACCGCATGCCGGTAACCCTACATCTCCCATGGCTAGCATCTGCAGTCCTTACTGCCTCCATTTCCCATGGCTAATCCACATAGCCCGCGCATCCCTGGACACTATGGGTAATTTAGCATAGCCAATCCACGCTAACCTGCACATCTGTGGGAGGAAACCGGAGCACTCGGAGGAAGCCCACGCAGACACAGGGAGAATGTTGGGGCAACTGTCTGTGTGAAGTTTGCACAGTGGAATCGAACCCGGATCGCTGGCGCTGTGAGGCAGCATTGCTGACCGTTGAGCACCTGTGTAACAGGTTTGAAAGGCTGAATGGCTTCCTGTTGTATCTGTGTAACAGTTTTCAGGGGCTGAATGGCCTCCTCCTGTTCCAGTGGGTAAGAAGCTAACTGAGGAACGTTGTGTGCTAACAGAAAATCGAAGGGTTTTGTTTTAAGAAATAGTTTGAGCTGCAGATACCACACTGCAGTATTGAGAAGCCCCTGCTGAAGCTGTCTCTCTCTCTGTGTCTCTCTCTCCCTCTCTCCCCCCACACAGGATGCTGATCACCAGCGAGCCATGCAGAGGAGAGCTATACGAGATGCCAAGACTCCGGAGAAGATGAAACGGAACCAGGTCCAGTTGGAGGAAAACCAGATGTCTCTGAAGGAGAAGAAAGAGAGAATTGAACAGAACTTGAAAAAGTTGGCAAGTCTGGGAAAAGTCAACCCAGTGAACAAGTACCAGGATCTGATCAATGACATCGCCAAGGTAACACCCTGAGCACAAGGGGGTCACATTCACTTAGCAGCCCCACTGACTTCACTGCCAGAGGTGACAGGCTGGGTTGATACGATATTCAACTCAGGGTGGCCTCGCAGAGAGCTCAGTCTTAACCCAGTAACTGCCACCCCGACACTTACATTTGTATAGCGCTAATGCACACCCCCAGGTCCACAGCCAATGAGGTTACTTTTTCAAGTGTAGTCACTGTTAATAATGCAGGAAAGGGTCGGCACGGTGGCTCAGTGGTTAGCACTGCTGCCTCACAGCACCCAGGGACTGTCTGTGTGCAGTTTGCACATTCTTCCAGTATCTGTATGGGTTTCTGTTGGGTGCTCCAGTTCCCGCCCGCAGTTCAAAGATTTGCAGGTTAGGGTGGAGTGATGATGGGGATGGGGATGGGGATAGTGTGGATTTGGGTGGGATGCTCTTCAGAGGGTCAGGGCAGATGCAGTGGGCTGAATGTACTCTTTCTGCACTGTGGGGATTCTAAGAAAGACACAGGCACAGGAAGATCCCACCAACTGCAATGTGATCGTGACCAATTACTCTTTATCCTGCAAGGGACGAGAAGTCCCCTGCTCTAGGCTGGCATTTGTTGCCTATCCCTAATTGCCCTGAACTGAGTAACTCACTAGGGTCTTTTCAGGGGGCAGTTAAGAGTCACCCACATTGCCATGGGTCTGGAGTCAAGTGTAGGCCAGACCAGGATGGGTAAGTTAAGGACAGTAGATTTCCTTCCCTGAAGGGCACTAGTGAGGCCCCTTTTTGCGATAATCGATGCTCACCATTGCTTTCAGTTCCAGGTTTTGATTAATTGAATGTAAATTTTCCCCCAGTGTTCCTGCTGTCATTTGGTTCCATCTCATGGGACCAAGAGCCTGGGGCTCTGGGTTATAGTCCAGTGACATTACCATAACACAGCTGTCTGTCTCCCTGTGACAGTAGCTGGGGGATAAATCCTTGTGCAGGACAGACTCCCCTGCACCCCTTCAACACACCACCTCACACCCACCTGAGAGTAAGGGCTTCAGCCAAAAGACAGCACCCTTGATAATGCAGCACTTGGTCAATGCTGCATTGGGAGTAACAGCTGCAAACAGGAGTCGAACCTATGACCTTCTGACTCAAAGCAGGTGAGTGCTCCCACCTGAACCACAGCTAAACTACATCTCTTGCATGTGGTGAATGATCAAATTAAAAAGGAAGACCCATCGAAATTAAAAATAAGAAATGCTGCAAATGCGCAGTCAGTCCGGTAGCTTGGATCTCATAGAGACTTATAAAATTCTAACAGGACTGGCCTGGGTCTATGCAGGGAGGATGTTTTGATGGTGGGTGTGTCCAGAACCAGGGGGGGTCACAGTCTGAGGATTTGGGGTAGACCATTTAGGACGGAGACATTCTTCACCCAAAGAGTGGTGAGCCTGTGGAATTCATTACCACAGGAAGTAGTTGATGCTAAAACATTGAATGTATTCAAGATGCGACTAAATATAGCACTTGGTGTGAATGGGATCGAAGGTTATGGGGAGAAAGCAGGATTAGACATGATCATGATGAATGGCGGAGCAGGCTCAAAGGGCCGAATGGCCTCCTCCTGCTCCTATCTTCTATGAATGAACCTTTCATTTTATCACATCAAGCTGGTACAGTGCACAAACAGAAATTGGTGGGAAAGCTCAGCACATCTGTGTAGATGCTGGCAGACCTGCTGAGCTTTACCAGCAATTTCTGTTTTTGTTTCAGATTTACAGCATCCACAGTTCTTCCGGCTTTTATTAAGCTGGAACGTTAACTCACTTTGTCTCTCCACACGTGCTGGGTTTCTCCAGCACTCTGTTTTTATCTCAATCCTCATTGTCTCGTTCTTGAATTGAAGACCCACCTTAGCTCATCTATCAGGAAGGAACTTCCAGTCCTCCCACGGCATCCAATTTGTTTTTCATCAGAAAACAAGCTCAGGACCAGCTCAGGATAAGCAGCCTCGCACTGCACCATTTCATTGTGAGCTGTTCCTGCCACTTTCAGCAGTCCTTAGTTACACCTCTAGATGGTGGTAGAATGCTGTGTGAATGCAAGGATCCAATGAATCCGTCTTGATCGTAGGAACAGACCATTGACCTGCCAGTGTGTAGGCTGCACACAAACCTCCTTCACTCACCACCCTCCCCTTTATCTCACCCAAACATGATATCCTTCTGTTCCTTTCTCCTTCCTGTCTGTTATCCAGGTTCCCTTTAAATGTGTCACATTCACAGTTACACAAAGAAATCTTTACCAACAGATTTTTCTCCCTTGTTTTCACATTCTGTCCCCCTTCATGAGGGTAAACTCAGCACAGGCAGGGCTCACACTGTGGTCAGCACAACTCAGCAGACAGTGCATCTGTCTACTTGGTCTTTTAGATGCTGCATCAGTTTGTTTTTAATAAGTATTGGGTAGTGCAGTAATGACATGTTAATACCAGCAACAATGATCCAGAAATCGAGTCTTGCCAGGGACAGTCTGAATATTCCAACTGAAGGGTCGTATTTTAACTAAAAAGCTGACACTTGTACAAGTGACTATAGAGGTGTTAGGTTGTTGCACAAACCAAACTCATAGAATCATAGAATCCCTACAGTGTGGAAAGAGGTTAGTCAGCCCATCGAGTCTATACCAACCATCCGAACAGCAGCCCACCCAGATCAAGACCTCTACCCTATCCCCCCAACCCTGTCTTTACTATGGCTAATGTACTCAGCCTTCACATCCTGGACACGATGGTCAATTTAGCATGGCCAATCACCTAACCTGCATACCTTTGGATGATTAGTTCAGAATCAGCCATGATCTTTCAGAGCTTGAGAAGTAAAGTAATATAACTCTATGACTCCCGCTGTAGCACTGTTGTCTTTCTGATGAAGACCGTGACCAGCTGCCTGCTCGGGCAGATGCAGAAGATTCCTGGATTTCTAACAACAGCAGCTGAGTTAACCTCTGCTCTGAGGACAATGGGAGAGATGCTTTTTTGTGGTCGGTTTGAAGACAGAGTTCATGAGGGAACAGAGAGTGTAAGATATGCCTAGCTTGAAGCTAGCAGAAATATCTATAGTGAAACTAGCAAGTAGCTTGGAGAAAGCAGAAAGAGCCATCCAGGAGCTGTGACCCAGGAGTGTACAGGAGCACGGGAGGCCACTATGAAGCAGGGTGTTGCAGACTTGTAAATTACTGAGCATGAATAAGACCATAAGATATAGGAATAGTATTAGGCCATTTGGCCATTGAATCTGCTCCACGTGGCTGATGTGGTTCTCAATCCCATCTCCTGCCTTCTCCCTGTAACTCTTGATCCTCTTTTTTTATAATCCCTGGAGCGTCAGAGACTGAGGGGTGACCTTATAGAGGTTCATAAAACCATCAGGGGCATGGATAAGGTGAATAGCCACGGTCTTTATCCCCAGGGTAGGGGAGTCCAAAACTAAAGGGCCTCAGTTTAAGGTGAGGGGCAAAGATTTAAAAGGGGCCTAAGCAGCAGTATTTTCACACAGAGGGTGGTGTGTGTATGGAATGAGGAAGTGGTGGAGATGGGTACAATTACAACATTTAAAAGGCACCTGGATGGGTACATGAATAGGAAGGGCTTAAAGGGATATTGGACAAATGCTGACAAATGGGACTAGATCAGTTCAGGATGTCAGGTTAGCATGAACGAGTTGGAATGAAAGGTCTGTTTCCGTGCTGTATAACTCTGACTCTGAGTGATCCCTAGTGAACATTGCGCCCTCAGTTAGCATCATGAACAAGAAACTTGGCTTATCCAGTCATTTAGTCCATGGCTGTTTGTGGGATCCTGCTGTGCACACATTGGCCACTATGTTTCCCGCATCACACCAGCGACTGCAGGACTTCACTGGCCATAAAATGCTTTGAGCCATCCAGAGATCATAAAAAGCAGGATTAGAAATGATTTCTTTGTTTTCCAGGGCATTATATCCTCCAAGCTGGAAATCCACCAGCCTTCCCAATTTCTGTATCTCCAGTGTCATCTGGGGGTAATTTCCAAACTGCTGTCTGATGTGGTGTATCATACCACTCCGATGTAGCTCCGGGATGGACAATAATCCCAAAAATTCATTTTAAAATATTTTGACTCTCAGATGACCAGAGGTATGTTTCCTTTAAACATGTTTTAGTGGCTGTTAACAGCAGCTGAAAATTATGTGCAAGAATGAGGAGTGAATACACTCAAGACCATGAGTGAAAGTCTCACTGTGATTCCTCACAGTTTCTTGCTTACACAGACACACAAACATCCACTTATTCATGCTTCCTCTCATTCCTACTCGCATAAAAGCAAATCACTGCAGATACTGGAAATCTGAAACAAATAGAGTGCTGGAGAAACTCAGCAAGTGTGACAGCATCTGTGGAGACTGAAGCAGAGTTAACATTTCAAGCCCAGTATTACTACTGTTCAGAGCCCGAAGAACCAGTCATTCCAGTCTCAAAATATTAACTCTGTTTTCTTTGCACAGATGTTGTCAGACCTGCTCAGTTTCTCTTGCATTGTGTTTGTCTCACACTCACACACTTTCTCTCACACACTGTCTCATATACACCCATTCTCTCTCTCTCTGACACACAAGCACACACTCTCACACCCATTCTCTCTCACTCGCTCTCACACCCATTCTCTCTCACTCGCTCTCACACCCATTCTCTCTCGCTTGTTCTCTCACCCATTTCCTCTTGCTCGCTGTCTCACCCATTCCCTCTCGCTCGCTCTCTCGCCATTATTCCCTCTCGCTCGCTCTCTCACCCATGCTCTCGCTCGCTCTTTCACCCATTCTCTCTCCTCACTGTCTCACCAATTCTCTCACTCGCTCTCACCCATTCTCTCTCGCTCGCTGTCTCACCCATTCTCTCTCTTTCTCTCTCTCTCGCACACGCGCACACATTCTCTCTCTTCTCTTGCACATGCATATTCTTTCTCTCTCTCTCTCGCACACGCGCACACACACATTCTTTCTCTGTCTCTCTCGCACACGCAGACACATTCTTTCTCTCTCTCACACACTCACTTACGCACAAACATTCACTGTTGATTTACAATCTCCCTGTGATGGTCAGAGTTCACCTCCAGGGTTTTGTGCCACACTCTCATCTCCTCTGGGACCCAGACAACCTGTGTAACTGGTCAGAGAAACATCTTCCTCACCACCCCACCCAAACACACCTCCTTTGAATATAATTCAATAAGCTTGGTTGTTTTTAAATAAATGAAATCTGATCTGCCTTCTGATAACTCAGCAGGATTGCCTGTTTCTAGTGAAGTCGGAAATCAGAGCATACAATTCTCTGAGAGCCACTCACCATCCTGATTTGGAAATATATTTACATTCTTTCATTGTCGCTGGATCAGAATCTTGGATCCCCTCACTAATAGCATTGTGGGTCTATCTACACCCAAGTCCGCAGTGATTCAAGAGGGCAGCTCTCCACCACCTTCTCCACAGCTATTAGGGATGGACAATAATTGCTGGCCCAGCCAGCGATGCTCATTTGTGAAAATAAGAAAAATGATGAGAGAGGTTGACTAATGGCAAAACAACGTCAATTTGAAATTCTAACTCTGTTTCTCTCCATAGAAGCTGCTAGACCTGCTGATTAATTCCAGCTTTTACTGGTTTTATTTTGTGCCGAGTGATAATGATGGAATGAGTTTGGGAGATTTTTTTCCCACAGTTTTCAGCTCCATCTTTCCTCACGCACTTGAAAATCTTGGCACATTTATCTTTGAGTGAAGGTGCTATATGAATGTAAGTGGTTGTTTGGTATGTGTTGCCAATATCTGCTGCTTCACTCAAAAGCTGTTGCCCCCGTGTGGCCAGACAGAGAAGTGTTGGGCTGGTTGGTCATGTGAGGCATTGCAGCTGAGGCTGATTCTGGCCATTTGTGATGTTGCTGTTTGCACATTCAGCCCGCGCACACATCTGTGAAATCATGTGTACACACACATATGCACTATCATGCCTGAACACATGCAGACACCTGTGCCTGAGCACGCACACACGTACACCTACACACACACTCCTATACATGCACACACGTTCTACTGCCCATGTGCGCGCGCACACAGTCTGCACACACGCGTACTCCCATGCACACACATCTCTGCACATTTTCCAAATTCAAGCTGGTGGTGCCTCACATGGGACCAAACTGGGTTCCAACTGGGATCTTCCTGCTCAGTGCCACCTGAGATGGGTGCATTTATCACAGCTCACATGCCAGGGGCAAAATTTAATCCCCATCTGCTCCTGCCTGCAGGACATTCGAAACCAGCGGCGATACCGGCAGAGGCGGAAGGCAGAGCTGGTGCGATTGCAGCAGACATACAGCGGCCTGATCTCCAAAACTGCCTTCTTCGAAGAGCAGATAGACTACTACAACCAGTACATCAAGACCTGCATGGACAACCTGGCCAGCAAAGGAAAGTGAGTGGCTCCACTTCCCTGCTCTGATAATGACTTGTTCCTGATGTTCTCAATGCATGCTGACCCTCAGCTTGGAAAAGATGGAATTGAAGAACATTCAAGTGTAGGGAACAGACCATTTAGCCCATTACTCTGCTGCTGGCTTGTTGGCAGAGAAATACAATGAGTCCCACTCACTCCTGTTCTTTCCCACTAGCCCTGCAATCCTTTTTTTCCTTTGAGCATTTATCTGGTTCCCTTTCAAAAGTTATGTGAATTTGTTTCATTTTGGGCAGATCACTACAGGAGGGAATGGGGAAAATATGACCATGGCACTGACCTAAAGATCGTTCAAGAGCTTAAAGACCAAGAGAGGAGAGAAACTCCACCTTTCCTGTCTCCTCCTTATGTCTCTGTGATCACTGATCTCTTGAGCTTTCCAGGACTTTCAAAGCTACAAACCTCACTTATCCTTATCCCTCTCCCTCTGCACCCACCCCGACATGGCCCCAGGGACTCTCGCTCTCCCATTTTCTTAAACCCGCGAAGCTCGAACTTTCCCTAAGGTCTCACTGTGGTCTGTCTTTAAAACACGAGCTTGAGTCTGCTTATCAACGAAGATATCATCGCTTGCTGAGAGATGTTGGTCCAGTGATTGCAGCCAATCAGGTTGCTCTCACCCACAGATCAACAGCTCAAACCCCACCTCTGTAACTTTAGAGCTGACATCAAAAAGAATTGTAAACTCTCAGCCTGCCACCCTTACCCAGTCCAGACCCATACGTGACTCCAGTCTCAATATATCAGAAATGGGTCAGCAAGGTTCCACCCCATTCCCCCTCCCTCAGTGACCTTTAGAAGGACAATAGAATTAAGAGGACCTTTTGGTCTCTCCACCCCCAAGCCATACCATTGTTACACCCCATGAATCATTGAGGTTGTAGACTTGCTCGCTGAGCCGGTGGGTTTGATTGCAGACGTTTTGTCACCGTGCTGGGTAACATTGTCAGTGTGCATCTGGTGAAGCATTGGTGTTCTGTCCTGCTTGTTATTTATATGCCTCAGTTTGCTGGGGCGGTTGGCATCACTTCTGGTTCTGTTTTTCAATGGTTGGTATATCGGGTCCAGTTCAATGTGTTTGCTGATTGAGTTCCGGTTGGAATACCAGGCCTCCAGGAATTCCCTGGCATGTCTCTGTTTGGCTCGTGCTATTATGGATGTGCTGTCCCAGTTGAATGCAAGTCCTTCTTTGTTCATATGTATTGACACCAGTGAGAATTGGATGCATTTTTATACTCATTGCACCCGAAAACAACTCCTGAGAGAGGTGAAAAATTAAACTAAAAACCCCCAGCTGATTTGGTGGCAAGTGTCTGAAAGTAGCCAGTAGTAAGTCTCTTTCCCTGGTTTTTATAATCTGATGTACACCTCACCCGGGCTCCTCTGTTTGAAACTGAAAGAACACGTTGAGTGGATTTTTCTGGAAATTGTTGCGTTGTGTTTGACATGTGGCGTGTTGTGTCTTACCCCTGTGCTTTGATGCTCCTTATAGAGTTTCGAAGAAGCCAGGAGATGTTAAAGGAAAGAAAAGCAAACAGGTCTCGCATCGATACACGGCAGCAAGACTCCATGAGAAGGGTGTTCTGCTTGAAATCGAGGATCTCAACAGCAACCAGTGAGTGACAGGAATTCACCAGGAAATCCGGTTTGCTTCCTTTGAAAAAGTTTGCAGCTTCCCTCCTTGAGGTCAATGAAGGATATTGAAGTGGCAATGAGTGGTTTGATTCCTGTGGAGAAGGGTCAAGGTCTTCATGGCAGAAAATTTGGGATAAAAAGAGCGAAGAAGTGAGCTTCGCAGGCAGTGTGCATAAAAGACTGTATCCAACAGGCTCTTGTGATGCAGTGGTAGTATCCCTGTCTCTGACCAGAAGTCCCAGGTTCAAATCCCACCTGCTGCAGAGGTGTGTTGTTACAAGTTGATTTAAAAATACCTACATCAGGCTGGAGACAACAGGATATGTATCTGGACTGGGCAGGGTTTCACCGAGAAGGTAGCAGGAATATTTAACGTTCAACATTTCGAACTGACAGGAAATGACCAGTTCAGGGAGCTGGGGAAATCTGGTTCATTGCTTTATCCATGGTAGAACCTGGAGGTGGTGGTTATACGATGCATGGCCTTAAATAAGAAAAATTATATTCAGTGTCAGCCTGGAGAACTTCAATTAATACCCAGCCTTTTGCAGGGAGAGTCTGAGATTGCTGCTACCCTCACTGTAGTCCATTTGCAACATCTGAGATAAGAGGCAGCATCAGAATCTTTAGGGAGTACTGTCATTTGAGACAGCGCACCCTTATTCATGTTTATCGAAAGGGATCTTTAGCCCATCACCAACATGCGCATATCAGGCCTTGGGTTAACCTCCCAACAAGCTGATCTCTGTTTGCACAGCACTCCCCGGGCACTGCCGTGAGGACTGAGTGTAAATTGAGAGCTCAAATTCTACACCAGGCCTTTCAGCTCTGATTCACAGGCCAGGACTCAGAGTGTTAACCCACAGCTAAAGGAGGTACCTTCTCCCTGCTCGCACTTGTGTTTTATTCTTTCCATAGGTTTATTTGGTTAATTAAACAGTTCTCTTCTGTTTTCAGGTTTAAAAATGTTATCTTTGACATCTGCCCAACAGAAGAGGTGGGTGACTTTGAAGTGAAGGCCAAGTTCATGGGAGTTCAAATGGAGACATTCATGCTGCACTATCAGGTAATCTTCATGGCCAGACATGGTCACCTCTGCTTTACCTTCTTGTCTACATTGGCACCTAGTTCCACAACATTTCAAATTGTAACCTTATTTGCAAAATCCCTATATTCCTTCCCTAACTCTGTAATCTCTAATAGCCCCACAACCCTCTGATCCGCTAATTCTGGCTTTCTGTACATCATCCATTTCAGTTGCTTCACTACTGAGCTTGTCTTCAGCTGCCTGGGCCCCATCAGCTTTGAGATTTCCTTTGTTAAACCTCTTCTCCTCTAAGTTATTCCTTAAACCCATCTGAACTTTCCAGCATCTGTCCCAATATCTTTTTATATGTTTGGTACCAAATAGTCTGTCAGTCTCACGATACACGATGGATTTTACTGTGTTAGACGCACTATATAAATGGAAACTCTTGTTCTGTCCTTATGAATCCTGAAGGTGCTGACTCTCACTGAGACACAATTCCTGAAGGTGCTGTCTCTCACTGGGACACAATTCCTGAAGGTGCTGATTCTCACTGGGATACAGTTCCTGAAGGTGCTGACTCTCACTGGGATACAGTTCCTGAAGGTGCTGACTCTCACTGGGATACAGTTCCTGAAGGGGCCGACTCTCACTGGGATACAGTTCCTGAAGGGGCTGACTGTCACTGGGATACAGTTCCGGAAGGTGCTGACTCACTGGAGGACAGTTCCCAAGAGAAATTCAATTCCCTGGCAACCACCTGTCGTTGGGAACAGGAGACAGTACAATAAGAGTGAAAATGGGAACTCTGCTTGTGAGACTTAGATTGTGACTGGCTTACAGCTGCTCTCTGTGTCAGATTTCTTGACTTTTTGCTGACCGTGTAACCTCTGTCCCTGCCCAGGATCTCCTCCAGCTCCAATATGAAGGTGTTGCCGTCATGAAGCTGTTCGACAAAGCGAAGGTTAATGTCAACCTGCTGATCTTCCTCCTGAACAAGAAGTTCTACGGGAAATAGCGGGGACTTCACCCGCCCCTCGCCACTGGGGTCAAGAGCTCAATGCCAGCGTCACGTTATTGAACGAGGCTCTGATGAGGGGCTGCCGTGCTTGTACTTCTCCCTTTTTGTTTAGGCTCTGTGCCAATCAGAACTGAGCATCTTTGAAGAGTGTATCAGCACCATCTGGAGCAGAGTCGGGTCATTGGAGCAGGCGTGCAATTCTATATGTAGTATTATACTGCTGGAACGTTTATAGACTTGGTATATGCATCAGTAGCTGTCTGTGTACTGCTTGAGGGGCATAAACATTAAAAAACACAACCTTTTCATTTTGTATCAATTTCTTTTTGTTCCTTTGCTATGTCTCTTATTCCTGTACAGACGTTTCCCTTTCTCTCCTCACATTCTAGAATTATCTTGGACCCTGTGGTCAGAATTTTGTTTCCCTGCTTTGTAATCCTTGCTTCCAACGATGTCTAAATGAACAGCAGTGTTTACTGATGCTCCCTGTTAGGTACCTCTCAAGCTGCCACAACGCGATAGTAATTCTGGGTAGTGGGATGCTAGGATTCTGAATATCTCTGCACAGTGATAAATATTATTAGCTGGCTAAATCAAAACTAATTTAGGTTGCATTTATTTCAAACCCCACTGGTGTATTGCTTACATCAGTCTTGGCCCTTGTGAATAAGCTTTCCACCAAAGTGAAGATTGTTGGGGAGGGACTGCGTTGACTGATGCACAGAACACACTGCTCAGTGAGAGTCCTTCCAGAGAATACTCACTCACAAACTTAAAAATATCTGAGACAGTTGTTATTAAACACAGTGAGTCAGTGAATATAATCACAATCTCTTCTAATTACAGGCTTTGAGTTTAGACTCTCAATTTCAATTGCTATTGGCTACCTAACACTAGACTTTACCCAAATGTTTCACTTCCTTGTATTGTTCTTGTGTCAGTGTCTCCAAAGGGTGCAGCATCCATGGTTGACTTGTCCATAGTGGTCTGCGAATGATGAAGACCAGTTCCTCCCTCCAGCTTTCTATTCCTCCATTTGTTGTCATTTGCATCAGTCTCGAGATTATTTTTTAATTCATTTTTGTATCTAAATGTTGCCAGAATCTTGGTTAGTATCTGAGTTGGGTTCATGTTTCCAGGCCCAACATCAGTGTGTCGTTTAGGGGCACATGCTAACCGCAGTGGGAGGCCCAGGGAACTGGACAGTATCATTGGTTTAAAACTCCATTCAATTTAACATCTTTGTTCACTTCAAACAGAAGTAAATCCAGGTGAGAGTTATCTCGCATTACTCCAGATTCTCCTGCTTCCTGACTGGGGTGAATTTAGGTTAAAATTGGCGTTAATAGACTTTATGAAGTGCCACAAACTGTTAAAAGGAAACATTTCAAGTCTCTGGCCTTCAACTCCTGGATCCTGTATGGATTAGCTCCCCCAAAGCTGGGTGATGAGATGATTCCAAGAGACAGAGAAGCTGAGTGTCCGAGTGTGGGGAATACAGAGGACGCTGGCATCCATTCACTACACGACTGTCCAGAGAAAGCTATCACGTACTGCTGTTATTGGCTAAATTATTGACCCCACTGATGCTTTTAAAACAAACTTGTATTTGTAGGATCACCAGTTGTTCCAAAAATAAAATAAAGATTGAGTTTATAACTCTCCATTGTGTGGTTTCTAAGATCCAATTGCCTTCTGTCTATTTTCTTCATATTTGGTTCATTGGCACTGACATCCTTCTACTCCAGTTCAACTTCAAGTCTCTCAAGTTTATTCAATAGAGTCTACTTTTCCATGCTGAACAGACCCATCATTCCCATTTTAATCATTCTTCCCCTGGAATCTCGACTGTGTGCAACTCCTCGGGCTTTGGTCTGCTGCTGGTCACAATCAACCTGCTTTTTCAAACTTGAAAGGGTTCAGTAAAGATTTACAAGGAGGTTGCCAGGGTTGGAGGGTTTGAACTAGTGGGAGAGGCTGAATAGGTTGGGGCTATTTTCTCCCAAAGTGTTGGAGGCTGAGGGGTGACCTTATACAAGATTATAAAATTATGAGGGACATGGATAAGATGAATAGTCAAGGCTTGGTCTCAGCTCATCTCCCTTCTTCACACAGCATGAGGTTAGATAGAGAATAAAGCTCTCTCTACACTTCAAACTGAAATTAAAGCTCCCGTAACACTACCCCAATCAAGCACTCCCAGGACAGGGACAGCACTGGGTTAGATACACAGTAAAGCTCTCTAGTCTCAAAGTGAAGATAAAGCCTCCTTGATACTGTCTCCATCAAACATTCCCAGGACAGGGACAGCCTAGGGCTAGATATAGAGTAAAGCTCCCTCTACTCTCTTAAGAGTCATGGAGATGTGCTGCATAGAAACAGACCCTTCGATCCAACTCATCCATGCCGACCAGGTATCCTAAATTAATCTAGTCCCTTTTACCAGCATTTGGCCCATATCCTTCCAGACCCTTCCTATTCATATACCCATCTGGACGCCTTTTAAATGTTGTAATTGTACCAGCCTCCACGACTTCCTCTGGCAGCTTATTCCATACACACACTACCCTCTATGTGAAAATGTTGCCCCTCAGGTCCCATTTAAATCTTTCTCCCCCACCTTAAACCTATGTCCTCTAGTTCTGGAATCCCCTACCCTGGAGAAAGACCTTGACTATTCACCTTATCCATGTCCCTCATAATTTTATAAACTTGTATAAGGTCACCCCTCAGCCTCCAACACTTTGGGAGAAAATAGCCCCAACCTATTCAGCCTCTCCCACGAGTTCAAACCCTCCAACCCTGGCAACATCCTTGTAAATCTTCACTGAACCCTTTCAAGTTTCACAACATCTTTCCTAAGGCAGGAAGACCAGAATTAAAACAATTAAACTGAAACTAAAACTACTTCTGAATTGTCCCCATCAAATATTCAGAGAAACAAGGTTTGAACCAGAGTAAAGGAGATAGTAAGAACTGCAGATGCTGGAGTCAGAGATAACACAGTGTGGAGCTGGAAGAACACAGCGGGCCAGGCAGCATCAGAGGAACAGAAAAGCTGACGTTTTGGGTCCGGACCCTTCTTCAGAAATGGGCGTCCCGACCCGAAACGTCAGCTTTCCTGCTCCTCTGATGCTGCCTGGCCTGCTGTGTTCCTCCAGCTCCACACTGTGTTATCTCGAACCAGAGTAAAACTTCCTCTCTACATAAATAAGAGAACCAGACAATAATTTGATTTTCATCTGTCAATAAAGCAAAAGAAAATAAAGGAGAAATAGATAGGTAAGTCAGTGTATTCTCAGGATTTGAAATCCTCTTGTTTTCCAATGTATTTGTTCCAGGAATGAATCTAGTTTACCTTCACTACACAATTCCAGACTTTTGCAATACACTTAGGCATGTATAGAAAAGAGATGATAAATAAAAACAAAGAACTGAAACAAAAACAAGGTGCTGGAGAAACTGAGCAGGTCTAGCAGAAAAACAGCTAATGTTTAGAGTCCAGTGACCCTCCATCAAAACAGAGATAATATTCTGTGTAATTCATACAACCAGTTGCCTCCAAACAAGCAATATAGATCAGCTATCAAAGGCTTATGTTGCCATGACATTGTGCCACACAAAAGGTTATTGTGCAATATAGAAGCATGGGTAAAAGAGTGGCTGGTGCCATGAAACATGCATAACTGGGTAGTTTTCTGACAGTAATTTCTGTCAGAATGTGACCAGTGGAGCCCTGCAGTGATCTGTGCTGTACCCCCAACTTTTTGCAATTTACTTCAATCACTGACATGAAAGGAGTGAAGGTATGATGGTTAAATTTGCTAATGACAGACAGATAGCTCAGAAAGTATACAGTGAAGAGGATATTAGGGTGTTGCAGTTGGATACAGATAGCTGAGTGAGTGGGCAAAAATCTGACATGAGTATAATGTGGGAAAACAAGAAATTTTTCACTTTAGCAGGAAGAATATAAAGGCAGGCAAAGGTAAACTCACTGTAGTGTTACCAGACCATAGGGCTGCTTTCTCATTAGAAAGAGATAACTGGTGGTGGTTTAACTTCAGGGTCACCAACCTCGGGAGAGGAGGGGTTTGAGGAGCCCTTTATAGTAACCCCAGCTGGTCAGAGAACTGGACAATGCTGCCAGCATAACACTGAATTATAAATCAGCTGTCCAGCCAAGTAAGCTAGCTAACCCTCTCCCCTTCCCCTCCCAGGTAAAAGCACGGTGTTAGCTAAATGGAGAAGGACTGTGCAATGCCAGGTACAGAAGGATCTCGGTGTTCTGGTGCATGTACCACAAAAAAATAGTAAGCAGATACAACAAGTCATCAAGAAAACTAATGGGATGGTAAATTATGAGAGTATGGATGCTATGCATCAGGCTGTAAATACATTGGAGGCAGATCAGAGGAGGTTTACTAGATTGAGACTTAGAATGAGTGGGCTGTCTGATAGGGAAAAGGTGGGCAGATTGGCTTTGTTTTTACTGGAATTTAGAAGGGTGAGGAGCGACTTTGTTGAAACTTGCCTGTCAGATCCTTAATGGTCTTGACAAGATTGATGTGAGAAGGATGTTTTGTCTTCTGGGCGAGTCTAGAACTGGGGGACACTGATATAAAATTAGGAATCACCCTTTTAGGACAGAGCTGAGGAGAGTATTTCCTGGACAGCAGGAACACTGGGGGAAAATTTACATTCAATTAATCAAAACCTGGAATTGAAAGCAATGGTGAGCATTGATTATCACAAAAACCCATCTGGTTCACTAGTGCACTTCAGGGAAGGAAATCCGCTGTCCTTAACTTACCCCCCTGGTCTGGACTGCACTTGAGTCCAGACCCACAGTAATGTGGTTGACTCATAACCCTGAAATGACCCTAGCGAGTTACTCAGTTCAGGACAATTAAGGATAGGCAACAAATGCCAGCCTGGAGCAGGGGACTTCTTCCTTACAGGATAAAGAGTAATTGGTCACAATCACATTGCAGTTGGTGGGATCTTCCTTCCTGTACCTGTGTGTTTCTTAGAATCCCCACAGTGCTGAAGTGAGGATTCGGGGTAGACGATTTAGGACGAAGATGAGGAGACATTTCTTCATCCAAAGAGTGGAATTCATTACCACAGGAAGTAGTTGATGCCAAAACATTGAATGTATTCAAGAGGCGACTAGATATAGCACTTGGGGCGAATGGGATCAAAATTTATGCAGAGAAAGCAGGATTAGGCTATTGAGTTGGACAATCAGCCATGATTGTGAAGAATGACGAAGCAGACTCAAAGGGCCAAATGTCCTCCCCCTGCC